CGCATGCAGCCCCCCCATTGAACAGGGGCTGCTGCTGCAAAGTAACCAGGGCTGCTTCGCAGTAGCTTCCTCTGCCTCCCCCCTGCAGCAACGTCACCATGGAGGCAGTGCTCAGGGGAACAGGCTTTTAATAAAGTTCCTGCCTCTGATACAGAGGCAGCAATGTGTGGGGGATGTGAATAGTTGAGAGGATTAACCAATAAGCCTAGACTTATCTGTTAATTATATATTTGACTACTCATTTACATCCCTAATTGATATAACAATTTAACTTCATTAGACAGCAGGTCTGGCACCTCTCCTATTTCTATAGATGTACAGTCCTAACCCAGGTTTATGATGACTGTAGGTTACCACCATCAGTGATCCTCTTAATGGATAACATGAAATTAGTTATCTTAGTCCAGTTCCTCCTAGGGATGCAAGTGACTAGTCAACTATCGGATAAGCAAATGCTTATCGGATAGTCGACTAGTTGCTTCCCCCCTGCCTGCCTCTATCAGAGAGAGGCAGCAAGAGTGGGGAGCAGGATCTGGTGCTGGGGGGAGCTGGTTTAAAAGCTGGTTCCCCCCAGCACTTCTGTGGGGAGAAGGGGAGGGGTTGAGGCAGGGAACTGGTGGTGCTTCTGCCTTTTAACTGTAGTAATTTCCCCCCTATCCTGCCAAAACAAACCAACTTTTCAGATCTTTTTTAGACACCAAGAATAAAGGAGAGCACAAACCTATTTGCTCCCTTTGCAGATTACCTTAAAAACAAACACAAACACCCTCTTTACTAGAGCTTTGGACAAGAGGCCAAAAAAAGTGGGGTGTGGTGCTGGGGGGAGCTGGTTTAAAAGCTGGTTCCCCCCAGCACTTCTGTGGGGAGAAGGGGAGGGGTTGAGGCAGGGAACTGGTGGTGCTTCTGCCTTTTAACTGTAGTAATTTCCAAAGCAGAAGCGCTGCGGGGAGCCTGGGGCCAGCCGGTGACTCAAACAGCCCCCCTCCCCTGCACTCCCTGTTTTTGAAATGTACAAAGCAGGGAGCACAGGGCCAGTGAGGGACTGTTAGAGTTCCCTGCTGGCCATGCTTCCTATGGCTCTTCAGCCTTTGAAATGTAGGAAGAGCCAGCAGGGCTCTTGCTACATTTCAAAGGTGGAGGCGCCCTTCTTGACTACAGGCAGTCCCGGGTTACATCGGATCCCTACTTACAAACAGGGTGAGGCAACCCCGCACTAGCTGCTTCCCCCCAGCAGACCAGGGAGACGTGGAGCGGCTTTTCTCAGCAGACACCTCAGCTTGAGAATAAAGGACTGAGGGAAGTGAGATGTGGGAGAATAAAACTGAGTTCTGGAGAAATGTTTGGCTAGAGTTTCCCCTACAATATGTACCAGTTCCGACTTACATACAAATTCAACTTAAGAACAAACCTACAGTCCCTATCTTGTACGTAACCCGGGGACTGCCTGTATTTGAATAGTTGATGCAAATTACATTGATTATTCGATTAGTCGATTAATCTAAATTTAGCATCCTTAGTTCCTAATGGACCTCTACCCTTATAACTGGTATATTTGTTGCCAATTCAAGTAGAGATGTCACGGATTGAATAGGATAAAGATGTGATCCTTACAGAAGAGGAGTGACAATGATAAATGCCAGTATAGTGAGGTGAGTGGCAGAGGGAGCTGTCTAGTGGTTTTGATTTAATCTGGAATATGGCATAAATTGCATTTTGATGATACTCCCCATGTTACTGAGCTAGATAAAGTTGAAGATGTCTGACTATTGAGAAATTCTAAGAAGAAACTTGGAGATATTGGCAGTGTGGGCAGAAAATAACTAACAAAATCAGATTTAGTTGGGAAGATAATGCAGGATAAGAGATGAGAAGAAATGATTTTCAGTGAGGGAGAGAAACCTGTTAAACAGGCCTACTGATGATAGTGGAGAGCAGAGAAATGTGATAGCAAGGCAAACCAAGGAATACAGTTTGGGGGCTGCATAAGCAGAGACCTTAAGTAATAAGATGAAGGGGCTGATTTATGACAAGAGCAAGTTAAATGATTTTACCCAGCATACTGTTTGCTCATTTAAGAAGGGAGTTGAATTGCTCAGAGAGGTCAAGGAATGGGACTGGGAGTAATGGGATGAAGTTAATAGAGAAAAATGAAGTGGAATATTAAGATCATCTTGATATTTTGAGATGCTGTGGAAGTCTCCAAAGGAAGTGGTAGAAGCTGCAGTGCTGGGGGATATTAAAAATTAGATTGGGTAAATTCTCAGAAAAATTACTATTGGGAAGACATTTTCAGGAGTGGGGATATGGAAGAAACCTGGATTAAGTCTTGCAGTCCATTTCTAACAGGGTGTGTACTGACATAGAACATGGCAACAGTTGCAATCTGTGCAGTGAATGGAACTTCCTCAAACATTCATTTCTTCTCCCAAATAAAAAATACTTCTGAAGAATAAATCCCTAATTTAGACTTTGTAATTAGAACATCTATATAAGCTACCCTCTGTTGTATTCCTTACTGCACATATGCAAAATGCCTCAAAATGATTTTTTTTAAATCTTTCTAGAACTAGCTGAAAGAGAAGAAAAGCCCTTTTTTGTGTTCCCTTCTGCTGGAATCCAGAAGTAACAACACAGTGATCTTTTGGCATAAATTCTTTTTTCAAGAGACATTCCTGCCATTATGAATGAAGTAGCAATCGTAAAGGAAGGATGGCTTCACAAACGAGGTAGGTATCTTTTCCTTCCCATTAAAAAAACAAATCTGACCCTCTGGGTCAGCCACCAAATTGGCTTAGTCTTATCTGTTAACAATATACCTTTCAATAGCCCTTCCTTATTTTTCTCTTAAAACCTGAACTTTCCTAATGGTAAATATATATAAGGAAGATGTGTGACCTTCTGTGAGGCATGCAATACTCTGTGAAATGTGTGTATCTTGGTTTTCTTAGAAAACGCTCTCCATTATTTTGTTTGAAAATGTTGCTAATGGGGGGGGAGAGGCTTCTTAAAGTAGAGCGTTGAAAGTTGGACTATTGCAGTGACCCATTTTAAGCAGAAGAACACTTGCTGAATTTAAGTCAACAAGGATCTATCTCAAACCCATAGATCCTTCCCGCCCTTTCTCTGGGGCTCTGCCCCTCTACATTCTGTCGAGTTAGGTACAGGGGCAGTAGGAGGGGGCACCCTGACTTCAGCACCCCCCTCCTCTGTCTTCCACACCCTACACAGCAAGCAGGAGGCTCCTGGGGTGCAGCTTTTAAATGTATCTATAGAACATGTTTTCTGTGAGCATGTCTCACCAGAAAATATAATTGTCTCCAAGGTGACTCTTCATTTGGACAGCAAAGGATACAGAAGCATTAATTTTGCACACTCTATATACATCCGTTTTAACACTGGTAAAATAAAACTTTATTGGAGTTCTTCTGAAGGAGTGGTGGGGCAGAGAGAACTGAAATACAGTTGACAAAGTAATTACATATCTCTCTGTCTTGCTGCATTACTGGACATTCCCTCACTCCTTCAAGGTCTTGCTAAGAAAGAGTAAGTGAAATTTTACTATATGCTTTTTTTCTTCCTTAGGAACAGTGTTTTTATGCTGTGAGGTATTTGGCGTGCCTGTTTCTCTGTACTTTGCTATTGTTTCCTGGAAAGGAGAGAACAGCATTAGTTGCTTTTCATAATCTCATCATTTGTTGTAGACAACAACAGATTTTGTATCCTCCAGCTTCCTGCTTCTGCAAACTCAGGATCTTTCTGGACAGTTTGCAACAACAAAGTAATGTAACCTAAAGGTTCAAAATAATTTTTTGGAGAAGAAGAAATGGCATGCCTTATCATAATCTTGATAAAGGTTAAGGATTCTGCAGCAAGAATAAAATTGATAAAATCCATGTTATTAAAATAAAAGGAAAATTATTGTTTTCTATAATCTGGTATACATTTTAGTTTTCTGTTCTTATCTGATGGTTGGTCATGAGAATTTGACAAGGCTATTTGAAAGCACAATAATTTTTTATTCAGTCTTTCATTCTCATTTGTTTCTGACATCATTTATGCTTCTTTTATGGATGCAAATGTCCCCTTTCTAGATCTTAGAGAAATAAATAAAAATCTTAATTCATGACACTGGATAGTTCTGAAGAATCTAAATTGCCTTGTGCAATAAATGTTTGAGAGAGACATTTTGATCAGGTAAAACAAGGCAAGGAAAAAAAATGCTTACATTTCATTTCCCAGTTTAGGATCCTAGAAACTCTTGCAGTTAAAGGGACACTGTGGACTTTCTGCCTGTGTATTTTTTTTTTTTACCTACTTACAAATAACAGCTCAGATGAAAGAGGTTGGTCAGAAATTTGTATTTTGTGTGTATGCGCATCGTAGGGATGTTAAAATGCTTTTATTTTTGTAAACGTGTAACTGTTGAAATTTACAGCAGTTACACGTTTACACACAGGGGGATCGGGCAGGAACTGGTGCTCGTGAGGAACCGGTTTGAAGCCAGCTCCTTGCGAGCACCGACTCTCCTCTCCCCTCCCCCCCCCACCTCCCTCAACTGTCCCCTGCGCTGCTGCCTTGGTATCAGGCAGCAGTGCAGAGGGCAGTTAGCTCCATGGGATCTGGTGCTGGTCTGCCTCCGTTCATGATGCTCTGTAGAGAGGTATTCGGTTGGAGGTGGTGCAGGCTGCTCTGCGGGAGTTGGTACACACAGGGAGCCCACTTAAAGCAGGCTTCCCATACACACCAGCTCTCGCCTCCCCAGATACCAATGTGGGCAGGATGGGGCGGGGGAGGAGGCGGCTGCATGTAACCATTAGGGTTAACCGATGAGCCCAGGCTCATCGGTTAACTGTGTACACGTTCACATCCCTAGTGCATTGGCAGCACTTTGTCTATACAGTTTTATTGTAGTCAGTCTTCCTTTGTTTGCATTGATATTTCTCTCAAGTACAGCGAGACACAGAGAAACTTATTTTTAATAAGAAAGCATGGTTGTAAAGTCACAAACAATGTTCAAGGGGGGATTCAAGGGCAGATGTAGTATCCAAAATTATTTTTATCCTTTTTTTTTTTTTTTTTTTTTTTTAAAGTCTGATTAGGTTTCAAGTTGACAATGACCTTTAAATTGAAAACTGGAATTTCAGTGCTTCTTATGATAAAAGATAAACTGAACACAGATACTGGTTCTTCATACTCTGCAGTATGGCCGCAGGGCGAGTCTTAATTCAAGATTGTTGAATTGCTTTTTAGATGCCTTTAGAGACACTGTCCTTCAGGCATCAGAGATTATAATCTGTCACTTACTGTGACAAGACCACTTGTTGAGCATGTGTGTTGTGACTCTTTTTGTGTGTAAGGGGTAAATAGCAGTGCATGATGATGTGTACTTTGAGATTCAAATTTTGTGCGCAGTTTGCATATTCATCTTGGTGTTTTGCATCTGAGTGAACCCCATCTCTTGGTTCCCCACAGCCTTTCTCCTCTTCTCCATCCCTCCTGACAAACACTTTGCCCCTTATTTCCTTTCACTTGAAATACAGTTATTAGTTACTAACCTGCTGATGGGTGATTTTAGAAGTGGTAGGGTATCTCTTCTTTGCTTTCCAGGAGATCACATATGCTAGCACTCTTATATTCTAAGTTTCATTGGCAACAGTGATGAGATTGGTCTTCAAATTGATTCTCTTGCATGGAGGGGGAGAGGCTGGTAGAATCATATGGCTGGAAGAGACTTCAGGAGGTCATTGGGTCAAGCCCCCTGCCCCAAAGCAGGACCAATCCCAACTAAATCATCCCAGCCAGGCCTTTGTCAAGCCAGGACTTAAAAACCTGTAGGGATGGAGATTCCACCACCTCCTTAGTTAACCCATCCCAATACTTCACCACCCTCCTAGTGAAATAGTTTTTCTAATATCCAACCTAGACCTCCTTCACTGTAACTTGAGAGAACAGCCTCTCTCCATCCTCTTTTCAATTTCCTGAAGCGAAGTTCCAGGCTGCTATCAAATCCTCCCTCACTCTTCTCTTCTGCAGACTAAATAAGCCCAAATCCGTCAGCCTCTCCTTGTAGGTCAGGTGCCCCCCTAATCATTTGGTTGCCCTCTGCTAGACCCTCTCCAATGTGTTCACATCCTTTCTCTAGTGGGGGGCCCAGAATTGGACGCAGTACTCCAGATGTGGCCTCACCAATGCCGAATAAAAGGGAATAATCACTTATCTAGATCTTCTGGCAACTCTCATAAGAACAGCCATACTGGGTCAGACCAACGGTCCATCCAGCCTAGTAACCTGTCTGCTGACAGTGGCCAATACCAGATGGGTCAGAGGGAGGGGATACAACAGGTAATCCTCATGTGATTTTTTTTTTCCCCCCATTTCCCGCCGTCACCCACCTTTGGAGAAGCAGAGGCTAGGAACACCATTCCTACCCATCCTGGCTAATAGCCATTGATGAACCTAACCTCCATGAATCTATCTAGCTCCCCTTTGAACCCTGTCAGAGTCATAGCTCTCACCACATCCTTTGGCAAGGAGTTCCACAGACTGTGTGCTAAGTGAAGAAAAACTTCCTTCTGTTTTGGTTTTTAAACCTACTGCCTATTAATTTCATTTGGTGACCCCTAGTTCTTATATTGTGGGAATATGTAAATAACTTTTCCTTATTCACTTTTCCCACACCAGTCATGGTTTCCTAACATATGTCAGGGTGATTGAAGTCTCCCATAATAACCAGGGCCTGTGATCTGGAAGCTTCTCTTAGTTGTCCAAAGAAATACTCGTCTACCTTATCCACCTGGTCTGGTGGTCTATAGCAGACACCAGCCATAACATCATCCCTGTTGCTCTCACCTCTAAACTTAACCCATAGACTCTCAACAGGCTTTTCTCCCTGTCTATCCTCGAGCTCTGAGCAATCATACTGCTTTCTTACCTACAGCGCAACTCCTCTTTTTCTCCCCTTCCTGTTCTTCCTGAACAGTTTATACCCTTCCATGACAGTGCTCCAGTCATGTGAGTCATCTCACCAAGTCTCTGTTATCCAATCAAATCATAGTTCTTTGACTGTGCCAGGGCTTCTAATTCTTCCTGTTTGTTTCCCTGGCTTCTTGCATTCATGTACAAACACCTTAGATAAATAGTTGATTTGCCTTACCTTCTCCATTCATATCAGGGGTCCTCCTTTGTTGCTCTTTCCTCCTTGTGTTTCTTCCCGGTATCCCACTACCCCACTTACCTCAGGGCTTAGGTCAGCATCCCCCAACAAACCTAGTTTAAAGCCCTCCTCACTAGGTTAGTAAGCCTGCCCGCAAAGATGCTCTTTCCTCTCTTGGTTAGGTAGATCCCATCTCTTCTTAGCAATCCTTATACCTGAAACGAAGTCCCATGGTCAAAGAAACCAAAGTCCTTTCTCCAATACCATCTGCGCAACCACGCATTTACTTCCACGATTCGACGATCCCTACCCTGGCCTTTTCCTTCAACAGGGAGGATGGACGAGAACACCACTTGCGCTTCAGATTCCTTGATCCTTCTTCCCAGTGCTACATAATCTGCAGTTAACTGCTCAAATTCATTCTTCGCCATATCGTTGGTCCACCATTTGAGTATGGATTTTCTTTTAAGTGACTTAACATCTACAATGCTTGTTATAGATCTACACTTATAAAAGATCAGATTAATTTGCTATGTCTGCAGGGCTAGCTGCTCCAGCTAGAGGATTTTTCCA